AATATGGTTTACTTTGGTGCTATTTACAAATTAACAAAGATCAATAAAAACGTGGACATTTCAAATGGACTATGCATTTTTATTCAAGAACTTGACAGTGTGGTGCATGGTAAATATTGTTTGTATTGAAGCATCAAATGACTTCCTTCTCAAAAAATAAATTTTTTTCTTTTTATATTTTCAGTTCTAGAACGCACTTTTCTTACCTTGCCTGCCCACATTTTGAACTTGAATTGTTCCTTGTCATCGGAAGGGATGCAGGATTATGGTCTTTCCTGGCGTGGGACAGAAGTCTTGAAGTCACAGTGGTGGGAGTAGTCTCAGATCATTGCTCTCTTCATGCTGCCTGGCCCAGCATGTCCACGTCCCTGCAGCCTGCAGCCAAATGGTCTCCCTGTCATGTTATCTTGCCTGGGCTCCCGCTGAGAGATCTTGGTTGGCCAGGTCCTGTGTTTTAACACGTCAGAAACATCTGCAAAAGTATCTTGTCATACCCTAACCGGTTTGGCTCAGCGAATAGAGCGTCGGCCTGTGAACTGAAGGGTCCCAGGTTCGATTCCGGTCAAGGGCATGTGCCTTGGTTGCGGGCACATCCCCAGTGGGGAGTGTGCAGGAGGCAGCTGATCGATGTTTCTCTCTCATCGATGTTTCTAACTCTCTATCCCTCTCCCTTCCTCTCTGTAAAAAAATCAATAAAATATATTAGGAAAAAAAAAGTATCTTGTCACTTGACAGGGCAATCGAAACCTGAGTCACAAAGATTAACCTTGCTTTCTTTTGGGTGTTCGCAGTGTGTGCCCCATTAACTTGAGGAGTGAAGCTTATTCTCCCAGCTGTTAGACAACCACCCACCCAGCCTCAGCCGCAGGACAGGGTAGCGTGTCTCAGATCGCAAACTTCTCTACCTACAGGTTCTGTTTTCGTATCATCTCAGCTAAGATAATCCTTCGTGGGAGTCCTAGCTTCCGAAAGAGGTGGGGGACTCTACACAGTTCTAACAGGCCATCCAGGCTGCAGCGTTGGAGAAGGGATGGGGACAGGGCAGGCAGGATCAGTGGCGGGGCACTTCTGTATGTAATGGCCCAGGAGCAGAGGGTAAACTCCACACGTGCCTGTATGCTGAGATGCACCCCATGCTGCACCTGCAGATCCACTCTCACTGCATCTCCCAGGGCCATAGAGTTTAAGCATTTCCCAGAACCACCCTAAACACCACCAACTAAATACCCTTTGTGTGTGTATGTTGGAGGAAGGAGAGAAAGCCATTTACTGTGTGTGTATGTGTGTGTGTGTGTGTGGGGGGATTATACTGCAAGAAATTGTGCTTTTCCTTCAAATTTTCTTCTATGTGTAAAGTATTTGTCCAAGTCCTTTTCCTAGACATTGTACTCAACATTTGCAGCCAAATAAGCTGGCCTTGTGGTGGGAAGGGATTGTTTGTGGAGGCTGGCGGAGAATGTGCTTTTTAAGAAAAATAAACCAGAGACAAATGAAAAAATAAACCAGACAGAAACTCCTATGGTCACGTAGAGGGGCGTTTAGTATGTTAGTATTCACTTTCCTTGTCATGGGTTTCTAAACATGCAGAGGTAAAGGCTGTACAAAGAACGGAGCCCTAGAAATTAGGTTTATTTCCAGTCCCTGTAGTCCAGATTAAAGAGGAAACTGAGAGCAGACGCAGGCACTGGGGCGAGCAGCTGCAGTGCCCGGGGCGTGGGCAGCCCCCGGGTAAGGCACAGGGAGTCCGTGTGCACACGCCTGACCCAGGAAGTGACACAGGCCCTCGGCAACCACACGTGAGATTTATGGTGGCAACAACTCGTGTTTGCCGACTGACCCACTCGTTGCCAGGAACTTTGAGGAGGAGCTCAGAGAATTTCTGCACAGTCCAACGGGAGGATGGAAACAGAAGCACTCGGTATCTTAAACTTCACAGTGCTTCGGGCATAATTTTCCCTCCAACTTCCAATGGACTTTCAGTCATGACTATGCATTTTATATCCTCTCTCCCACAACTGTCCAACTCCAGCTTCAAGAAACAAGGGGCAAGTGCATTGCCAGGGAACCATAAACACCTGAACGTGGCCTTGGCTGCTGCTCTGTTCTTGGGCAGGAAACCTGAAGGCAGGGATTCTTTGAATAGCGGGACTGGCTGAATTTTCAAGTTACTGTCAATGTGCCTGTTCACCTACATATTGTGCAAGACAAGTCCCTAAGACCACCCAGAGCCTCCTGACCTTCCACCGCGGTGAGCTCCCCAGTGGCTACCCCCACAGATTCCCCTGTGACATTTTAATCCTCGCACTGCAACTTCCAAATAAAAACCTGATGTTTCCAATCAGGCAGTTAAATAGAGGAAAGAAGTTTACACATTTTATGATATATGATTTTATTTACATAACTAAAATTATTTTCTTAGTCACCTTGATTTACAAAAACAAATGAACACGGTATGGTTTTAATAACCTTTCATAAATAGATTTTACAAATTTTCATAACTGACAGATTGCTACTTAATACTCAGTAACACTTAAATACTTAGTAACTTCTGCATATATGCATGAAAATTCTGAGAGGACTAGTAGGCACGAGTACTTTTATAACTCAGGACTAGACAATTAGGTTATTAGTCAAGGGTTAATTCCCCATCACTGGGTCAGCCACTTGGGCTCGGAGTCCTCACCCTGCTAACAAACCTGCTACAGCAACTCACTGAGTAGGCATTTTTAATAATCTGAAAGTGAACCCTTAGTTAATAAGACTAACATTAAGTACGTCTGAAACCATAAACTCCCAACGAGATATTGGTAAAAGAACTAATAGGGCATCTGAAACATGGCTCCAGCTACAGCCGTGTTAGTCTCCAGTAAGTGTTTTTCCAGCTTTCTCCGGGTGTGTACCCAGCGCACACCACGAGGCTCCAACACATACTCAGCCGAGCCTTCTTGGCCACAAAAATGCTGTTGATGTTACGGTTTTTATGCAATGCCTCTAAAACACAGTCTTGTAATAAACCTACAGGTACGTCCCTCCCCGCTGCTTTCCATCCGAAGGCCAGGCAGTGTTTGGTAACCGATCCTCCCCTGGGAAGTTGTGCTGAGACAAACAGAAGAGCCACCAGGACTTTCCAAAAGCTCCCCCTCCCCCCAAGCTGGGAGGAGCGCGGTGTCTGTGACCACAAACAGGCAGAGAAGAATGACAAGCTTATGAGTCATGGTCAGAATCTAAGAAACAAAAATGTCTTGCTATAGCAGCATCAAGTGCACACACAGGAAGAGGGGATACACGTACTTTCCCACACAAGCTCTATAAGAGCCAGAACACTGTCTTTTCCACATCAGAACAGAAATCAGAGGCGAGGCGGTCCTTGGTCATTGTCAATGCTACTTCTAACATAACTAGCTGAACAGGCCCTTGTACGCTGAGCACCAGCTCTGCCCACTCCTGAGGTGTGAGATGAACCACTGCTTTCTGGTGCTGGGCATGAAGTGGATGGAAGGCTGGGGTGGACTCCCAGCTGCCACCTCTCTGCCTGGACTAGAGGCCACTCCACAAGCACCCCACCCCTTCCTTCATACTGTTCTAGACCAGGAAGTGACCAGTGACGGGGCAAACGTGTCTGTGAGCTCTCTCCCGACACCGCCTGTCTACACAGCAAATATGGCATCAAATCTCTCCATTGTGCTAATCTAAGAATCATTTTAATCATGATAAAAAAATCAAATGTCTTCCTAAGAAAACGTTTTCTTTTAATTAAAAAAAAATCCTCAGGATCCCAAATCCTGAGCCCAGGGCTGTGTCAAGACCCCTTCTCCCACGCCAGCCCCGGCAGGTTTTGACACCAACACTCGGCCTTGCCAGGCTCCCATTCTCAACACCGTCAGGTCCTTTGGGCCAGTTTTGTCTTTGCTGCCTTTGTGGGGGGTAATTGGGGGTGGGGAGCGTGTGCTTCATGTTTACATCTCGTTGCCTTGTTGGGTGGCAACCAGGAGAATCAAACAGATCAGGTAGTGAGTGAGGGACCCGAACGTGTGAGCACAGAGCACGGTGATCCCTGATGAACACAGACCAGCACCGGCGCTGCCGAGGGCTGCAGAGGAGGAGGGACCTACACACGGGACCGGGACTCCCATCCAGTGCACGGCGTCTGCTGGGAGGGAAAAGCCGCCAGCCAGCGGCAAGGGCACAGTGAGGGGCCGGTGGACCATCTCGGCAAATGTCCTCTCCTTGTGAGTCCATTACCTTTCACAAAGAAATGTTAACTATCAAACGAGTCCGTTAATTGTGCCGCTGAGGGTGAAACCATCCAGTTAGCATATACACTATCATTGGCATAGCGTGGACACCCAGTGCTAGTGCCATCGGCTCTCGTGAGTGGTACAGGACTCTCCTCAGGCCAGTTCGGGTCTGACATGCCTAAAAATGAAAACAGATCATTTGCTCTGCACTGAAGAACCCACGCTTCATGTGCAGACAGTAAGGGCTTGGCAAAACTCCCTGTGAGGTTCCAACCACACTCTGGTTTCTGTGCCAATTACACGAATGGTCTCCTGCTCCAGGTTTGCAAAGCACGTGCTCTGGGGAACTATCACGAGCTGTCTTGGTAACTGGCCAGACGCGGCCAGTTTTGACTTTTATAAATTTCACTCTCAGATCTGACATATATTTGCCGACCTCTTTAGCTCGTTTTCTAAGGCAGCAGGAAGCATCAGCTCATCACTGTGCTCAGTGGCTTACGGCAGCGGGCAGCTTCCATAGAAAGTTCTCGGACGGAAAGCCTGTCTTCCCCCCAAGTCTAGCCTGGGGGAGAGGGTCTTCCAGATCAAGAGTGCACACAGGGGAGCCCACAGCGGCGCCAGGACAGAGGCACGTAGCACCAGACCCCAAGCCAGCGAGGAATCGAGTGACTCAGGAGGCATGCAGAGGGGACACACTCAGCTGAGAAATGCTTGAAACGCCAAGATTTCAAAAACAATCAATGATGAGGTTAGAAAACAGGAAAAATTTCAAGTATTTAATTGAAGACAAAAGAAGGAGTTTTGGCAAGAACCGTATTTACTGTCCATTGCGAGACCACAGCACCACAGACTACGTTCTTCCAGAAGCATCTGCTCTAGCTTTCAGCGCTGACTTCATAAGTGACAGCCGTCATGACAGTGGGTAACGCAAAGGATGTGAAAACAGCTGCCTGCGTGTGCCCTCCCCGGTGCTGGCCTGTGGCTGGGCACCCCGCCCACCCAGACAGGGTCTGGGGCCACTGGCTGCGCTCCGTGCAGGCGCGTGCTGCTGGCTCCTCCTTTCTCAAACACCTCCCCAGTTTGGGTAAGTGTGTTCCAGTAGTTAAATTACAAGTACTGTGACTTGATGCCCACCCCAGAAATGACTTATTCCTCATAGTCTCAACGTCCCCTGAGTGTTCTGCCCTGCGCTCTTTCTTTATCATCTTAAATTGCTGGGCAGAATAGTAATTACACTTATTTTCACATCCTTTAAAAAAACATAGTTGCAAAAATGCCTGAATGTCAACGGATGCAAACTCAGACATTACAAATAAAAAGGTTCAGAGTGGACTTTGGTTTCATTCAGACCAGAGAGACTCTTTAAAAAGCATTCCAGAGAGTAAGGATAGTGCAGAGAGGAACAGAGTCGCTAGAATCTAGTAAATGCATGTGAAATTCTACCATAGAGTTTGTTTTCAATCCACGTGGAGGGGAGGGTTCGAGGGAGGGGAGCATTATTACAGTCCACCAGGGGCATCTCCTCTTCCGAGAGGCCGTCATCGTAAAGCAGGGAGTCGGACGGGGTGGACGCGGCCAGATCCAAGTAGTCCTGGAACAGAGAGATGGCTGGTCACCACTCCCCCCACATGTGCCACGAGGGACACACCCCTGGGCAGAAGCCCTGGCCTTGTCCCATCCGATGCCAGTCTACTGGCTTCTCCAGGAGACCTGAGCCCTCACCAGATTGCCAGCTCTGAGGTCCCCCAGCAGCTGCATCACCTGGCCCTGTCCCATAGTCCTCACTGCCCCCCGATAGAAAGTCGCCTCCTGGGGGGCAGAAATGTCCTCCATTATTGTTCTGGTCCTATCTAAGCAGCGTGCAGCACCGCCCTGCTGAAACGTGTGGAGAACAGCCCCAGCGCTTTCCTGCCTGCTTCTCAGCGCTGTCCCAGGAAGGCCGCCTCAGCATCAGCTGTCACTTGTTTAGGGGGACCCTGCGTTAACGGGATTGGAGGCTTTGCTCAAGTGATACACTGATGCTAGGTTTCACTACAAATGGCCTCGACCATGCATCTTGCTTTTCCTGTCTGAAGAAATTACAACTGTTGGTGAACGTGTACATGTGAGGATGAACGTTGATGTAAACACCACGAGGGCAGGGTCTGTGCGTGTTTGTTTACTTGCATTTCCATGATCTAAGGTGGAACAGGGCACACAGCCATTGCTCCATAAATATTAGTTGAAACTTTGTTGACTTTCTCATTTTCCTACAGAGTTTAAACTGAAGGCACCGGGCTGAATGTGGCCTCTCAGATCTGTTTTGTTTGGCCTACACTGAGCTTTTGAAAATGTAATTGAGTTGCCAACATTAAAAACTGGGAAACGTAGCATAAAAATCCCTTAAAACTCAGAAGACCTGACACACTGGAATTCATTTCCCTACAGGTCACATGCGGCTACAACAGGGGTCCTTTAGGGGGGCTGGTGTGCTACACCCTAGTCCGTCCCTCAGCCAGCCCCTCCGAACATCTGGATTGAGGACACTCATGTCAACTTTTTCCTGTGATTTTGTTTGGCTTTGGAATATTCCTCTCAGACACCTGTCTTTTGAGAGCTCTTCCAAGGATCATGCTAAAAATCTTGGTGTCTTCATGATTTGAAAAGAAACCCAAGGGACCTGGTGCCCTCCGTGGTCAGCAAGGCCTCTCCCCTGCATAGCCTCACTCTGCCCCTGCACAGGAACCTCCGGGGACCTGCTTTGGGGCTGGAACCCCTCCCCCCAACCCCCACCTCCCACCTCCCTCTGCCACGTCCAGCCCGTTGGTGGCCCACACTAGGCATCTGCTCTAGGTACTCACCCTTCTCTTAACCATCATCTTCTCCAGGTCTTTGCTGATGTCGGCAAACACTGGCCTCTTGTCTGGCTCCTGCTTCCAGCACTGCAGCATCAGGCTGTACCTGGTGGGAAGAGCAGACGGGCAGCTATGACCCAGCAAGGACCAGCTGTCATAGCCACCACACCCAGCACAGTGCCGGGGGCCTGGGGGGCTGTTCCTGAGCCCCAAGCAGTTTCTGCATCATTGACATCCTTCTGAGCTGGGCCAGGGTGAGGGGTCATCGGGGCTCAGGGAGCCCAGCACTGTAAGCTTCCTTTCCCTTGAGGGAGATTTGTTTTCAAGTCCTTTCAAAGACACTGGTAGCTAGTGAACCGTGCCCACTATGGTGGCTGAGTGGGCAATGCCAGCCCTTCAGACTCTTCTGAAGGTTGAACTAGATGTGGAGACACACAGAAAGGGCTGCCAACCAGCCACTCACACCTCTGCCTTACACCTTTACCACCTCCTTGAAACCACAGCCACAAGGCCCCCGGGGCTGCCGTGTGTGGAGTGCTGGGCCAGCTGGCTGCCAGCCCGGGCTGGAGGGAGGTGGTGCCACTCACTCTTTTAGCCCCGGGCTGGGCACGTGGCATGTGCACGCGGACTTTGTGGAATAAACATACCGGCCTGTGTCTGCACGCAGACAACTCCTTTCTCATGTGATCTCCACCCGTGCTGTGGGAGTCACCTGAGGACCTCCGTGCATGAAGGCTGGTGCTTGGGCTGACGTCTGGACGCTGCTGGCCGACCCCCTGCCTACCCTTGGCACCTCCACTTGGGCACTCCCCAATATGTGCCCCATGGGACAGTCTGAACTACCTGCCCCTCTCCAAGTGACCTGCAGGCACTGGTGTCTGGCTTTGGGCTCAGCTGCTTAGACTGATCTCATCCTTCCCATACCCCTCTGCGGGCTCTGCTCCCCCTCATCCTTGTAGTTCCCCCCAGGAAGCCCACCCAGCCCCAGTGGAGTTGGATCCTCAGCATCTGCTGCCATGCCTGAGGTGGGTTCTGTGACTTCTGCCCTGTCATGCTCTGCTTGTCACTACCCACCCCCCAGCTCACCGCAGACTGGCGCCCAGGGCTGCTAGGAGAGGAGGAAGAGTGCCTGTGGTCTGCCCCGCCCAAACCCCATGCCTGTGTGAGGGAGGCGGGGCCGAAGCAAAGCCTGCTCACATCTCCTCGCTGCAGTTGTCAGGCCTCTCCATCCGGTAGCCCGTCTTCAGAAGGTTGAAGAGCCGCTCAGGAGGAATCCCAGGGTAGGGGTTGCCCCCCAGGGTCACAATCTCCCACAGCAGGACACCAAAGGACCACCTACGGGAAGCAAGACAACCAGTGAGTGGCTGTGCCACGCCTGCCCTGCCCGCTGGGGAGCTCAGACATCTGTCCCCCCAGCAGCTGCTGGCCCACCAGCCCAGAGCCCCCTCTGCACCTGCAGAGAGCAGGTCTCAGCCTGGGCCCCATGGCACCAATGGATGCAGGATGGAGTGGGGATAGCCTGCCCCGTCCCTGCTGCTGCGAGGCTTCCCAGCTCAGGCCCCACACCCACGGGGGCACTGGGAGCCCAGGCAATGGGTCACTGAGGCATCAGAGATGGCCCAGAGCCACCCAGCAAGTGCAGCAAAATGCAGGCTTGACCCAGGCCACGGGCCCAGGTTCCCGGCATACTTCCTCCACCTTCTCTGTGTGCTTGGAATTCTCCTAAGTCTTAGAAAGAAAAAAAGCACGGCTATAAGAAAACACTTAACTGCCAGGGAGAATTTACTGTAAAGCGGGAACAGAATCGTATCACCAAACAGCATTACCACATGAGCCCACTCACAGAGATGGGAAGCAAACACCTGCACACCTCAGAGGCCGCGCTGTGAGCCAGTGGTCACTCGGGGCCGGTGAGGTCCTCCTGACTCAGTCTCTCCATGCTTTACTTTCAATTTCCCAGTTGTCTTATGCTCAACTTCCCAATCAGGAAGCAGTTGTTTAAAACCGTAAGAACAGCCCACGCTGTTCAAGAGGCGCACGTCTAGGTGACAGAGCACTTAGACAAAACGAGTGCTGTGTCTTTGAAAACTATCCCGTCTGTAATTTGACTGGAAGACTGAGTTTGGTTCTCGCCTTTGAGCAGTCTGGGGCACACTGAACTTACTGGAGGCCATGCCCACCTGTGGGTGGGAACCACCCTGCTCAGGCCCACAGGAGGGAACTGTTGGGCTGGCCTGTGTGTCACTGAGACGCCCACAGGAGGGAGGGGAGAGGGGGAAGGCCACGGGGATGTGCAGCCACTGCTCACTGCTCTCATGGATGTTATTGCTGCTTTCAAAACTACTGCCTGGGCCCCGGGCACTGGCTAAATGAAGGCACGAAGCTCCCTCAGGCTGGGGAGTCACCGCTGATGCTTGGCACAAGTTGATAGCACTCAGGGCCAGCGTTGTTCCAGGCTGGCTGCCCACGCAGGGGGCATAGTCCCCTTCACACGTAACCCAGGAAGGCACACCCACACTTACACATCACTCTGGGTGGTGTAGATATGATCAAACAGGGACTCAATTGCCATCCATTTGACTGGAATCCGGCCCTAAAGAGGGAGCGAAAGAAGGGCATTAACGTTGCTGGGAACTGGAGGGGAGTGTGCAGGAGGGCGTGGCCCTGTCTCAGGCACTTCCAGCTCTGGGGGATGCTGAGTAATGACACCAGAATGCTCCCGGTACAGAACTGGCACGCAGCTTCAGAGGGCCGGGGTCTAGCCTGGCCCTCCTGGGCACAGCTGAGATGCCAGTGGGAGTCAGCTGGCTTGCCCACAGATACACAGGCCTGCTTGTCAAGCACCACATTTCTGCTGAGAAGGAACCCAAGGAATTGATACCAAGCCCACGCTAGGTCCCCTACGGCCACCTCTGGGGAGCTCTGGGGTGCCCCAGGTGGTGCTGCCCAGCTGGTGAACCAAGAACACCATCCAGCAAGATCTGCCCTGATGTCTGAGGATGAAGGACTTGGGGAAACCAGCACTTCTATCTTGGGAGTTCTGATGGAAACCAACACACTAACTGCTCTTCTGGGCAGCGTCGAGGAAGGAATCTGTTTATGGGCCTCGAGGCTGGTTTTTGCCTCGTTTTATGCCAGTGCCCTGGAAGAGTACCCCTCACTGCACAGGTGCTGGGGTCGGTCAGACCTAACAAATCCCTTGAACTGTTCTCATTGTTTTGGAGTTTTGGATTCTTTCTTTCTTTGGGTGCTCTGATTGGGTGCTTTCTGCTACCTTGTCTTCCAAATGACTGATGCGATCCTCTGCTTCAGCTAATCCACAGTTGATTCCATCTAATGCATTAATTTCAGTTATTGCATTCTCCATTTCTGACCAGTTCTTTTTATGATTTCTATCTCCTTTTTTGTTTCCTATCTCTTTGTTGAAGTTCTCACTGAGACTATCTATTCCTCCCCCAAGCTCACTGAGCATCCTTATGACCTGTGTTTTGAACTCTGCATCTGGTAGAGCACTAGTTTTGGTTCTGGAGTTTTGTTGTTTCATTTGGGATGTGTTGCTTTGTCTCCTCATTTTGGCTGTCTCCTGTGTTTGTTTCTATGTATCAGGTGGATCTGCTATGTCTCCCGGTCTTGGCAGAGTGGTCTTCTGTAGCAGGTGTCCTGTGAGGCCCAGTGGCACAGTCCCCCGGTTAACCTGAGCCGGACGCTCTCAGGGCGTCCCTTCCGTGGGTTGTGTGCCTTCCTGTTGTAGTTGAGTCTTGACTGCTGCTGGCATGTCAGTGCTGGGACTGACCCTCATGCTGACCGGCTGTGAAGACTGGCCATGATAGTGGACAAGCGGTTGTGTGAGGCTGACCCCCGGAGTGAGATTTGCTGCAGTGGGGCTCAGACCCCTGCCAAGTCCACCTTTTGGGTGTGATGTCTGTAGTGCCAATTGGGGGGTGTTCTGGAGTGTTCTGAAGCCAGCCACCAGGTGTGTTGGTTTTGGAGCCTCTTGGGAGGGGCTCCAGTGCAGGCCAAGGTCAGCTGCTGCCTGTATCTGGCCTGGACCACCTGGTAGGGTCTACAAAGTGATTTTTGGTTGGTAGCTGCCTGTTCTGGGCCTGGAAGCTCCTGGGTTACGCTGCGAACCAAGGCTGGTTACCACTACTGCCAGGCTTGGGGCTGCTTAACGAACAGCACACCAAGGCCAGACGCTTCTTGTTTGGGGTTTGTGGGCCTTCGATTTTAGAAAATTCCAGTGTGAGCCCAGGCTAACGGCTTGTGGATTAGCCTCCGAAAGAGGTTCGGCCGAGCAGGGTGAGAGAATCATCAGGTGAAGTGGTTCATGGAGACTCATGGAGACTTTGTGCCCGGCTGCACTTGCAGGCTGGATTGGAGGAGGGCTCACTAAGCAACAATGGCGCCTGCAGGCACTTTGCTCCAGGGGAGAGCTGCCCCTCCAGCCTTTGCCCGAAGCCAGATAATCCAGTTCCTCCCTTTTTGTCCCTGGCATTTTTCCATTTTTTGAACTGCTGTCCCTTTGCTGGAGCTCAGGGAAGTGTTTGTGAGCAAGTAAGTCTGTGCTCGGGCCCTTTAAGAGGACACCTGGGTCTACAGCAGCCCTCCGTCTCACCTGGACAGAATCCCCGCCGATTTTCAGAGCCAGCTGTTGTGGGGACGCCTCTTCCGGGCACTAATGATCCGGGCTGGGGAGCCTGGTGCAGCGCTGGCCCTCACTCCTCAGGGGGCCCCTCTGCAGCCGAGACATCACTCCCAATTCGTAACTGCCACACATGGGCGCGGGACCAGCCCTTTTCCTGTCTCCACCCTCCCTCCTACCAGTCTCAACGTGGCTACTTCTTTATACCCTTGGTGACAGTTCTGTTCATCAGCTAGTCTTCAGGCGGTTCTGAAGGGTGGTTGTTCTGTAACTTGGTTGTAGTGCCGATGTGGTAGTGGGAGGAGGAGAGCAGAATGCACCTGCTCTGCCATCTTGACCAGAAGTGACCCCAATGCCACTTGACAAAAAGCTTTCCAGTAGGTAAGTCTTGAGGCAGAAATCAATTTTAAAATGTGCGCAGTGGATTTTAATGCAGCCTTTACTGTGGCTCCTTTTTCTTTAAGCATCCTTTAGGATGCACGCCCTTGACGAAGTGTGGCTGTTTCTGGGGCACGCGCTTGTAACAATGCTGCCTGCAGCCTGTGCTCACGGGGCCGTGTTTGAACCGTTTATGCTTCTCTGCTCGGTGACACAGGGCCTTCTTGGAGGATCAGGGCAACAACAGGAAGGCTCTGTCCACATCCCTCCACAGGGTGGGGGCAGCCCCTCCACTTCCCCTTGGGCAGTACTGAGATGTGCTGTCACAACGGAAACCCTAGCAAAAACGAAACACCGTCCTCACAGCCTGGACCACAGGGGCTCCCACCCTCAGGGTGATGCTGTGTGCGGCTGCTCTGTGTGTTACTCTTTTCTGAGCGGCGTCTGTTCTGCACGTCGGGGCAGCTGTGACTCCTGAAGGGCCTGTGAGCTGAGCCCGTCTGGTCTGCTGGAGGGAGGCTGTAGGAGAGGGGCTAAGCGGGCAACACAACGAAGGGGCCCATGACCAATGCCACAGGAAGGCGCGCCAGGCCAGGAACCAGATCTCCCCAGAGGGCCCCGACCACCGACTTCAGAGATTTGGAGGATGCGCAGTGGATTCAACGCAGCATTTACTGTAACCCTTTTTCTTTAAAGCATCCTTTAGGATTCATGTCCTTGATGAAGTCTGTTTCCAGGACACGTGTTTGTAACAGCGCTGTCTGCAGCCTGTGCTCTTGGGGGCCCGTGTTTGAACTTTTTGGCTGTTTCGAGGATGACCCTATGCTAAGTCTCTGGACCCTCTCTAGGGCCCTCCTTGAGCCTCCCAACCCACCCAGGCTCCCAGGCTCCCGTCCCAGGGAACCTCCACCTGTGACATGCTTCGTGCCTTTCTACATAGAATGGCCACACCCTCTCCTCTGCCTAAGAGCTAAGTTACATAGGACGGAAACAGGGACCTTCATTCATTCGCAGAAGGGAGGGGGACACTGCAAAGAGGATGGCTATTTCCGCAGCATTAGGAGGCCTTCGAAAGGGACAGTGATGAAGAGCAAGAGAAGCTTTGGCACCTGGCTCTCGGCAGCCAGCCCTGAAGGGCAGGTGCGGGTGTGGCCCTCCGGAAGAGAGGAACAGACTCCGGGATCAGCCCTGCACAGGGTCTCTGGAGACCCAAGATCAGGGAAGGATTTGGGGATGAGGGCTAGAAGTTTATACTCTAAACATCCGCTTTATCCTCTCCACCCTGTGGGCACCCTGCCTGCTGCCCCCACCACGCCCGGGGTCTCAGGCCAGCACACCCCAAGACCTGGTACCTTGCTCCTCTTCACATAGGAATCCTCTTCATACACATCCCGGGACAGACCAAAGTCCGAAATCTTCATCTTCCGCCCCTCGGCTACAAGGACGTTTCTGGCTGCTAAGTCCCGATGGACGAGCTGCAAGGAAGACATAGCAGGGACCCCTAAAACTCAGGCCCACCAAGGCAGTGAGGGTGCGGGCTGGGGCAACACACACCTTCATCTCGGCCAGGTATCGCATCCCCCGTGAGATCTGCCAGGCGAAGGAGATGAGGTCACCCATGGTCAGGGCCCGCTCGTCCGGGTTGTCCAGGTAGCTGGAGTTGCGGCTGCCTCTGCTGCCAACGTAGCCGGGCCCCACCTTGCGGCTCTCTCGCAGGAAGCCCCGAAGGGAGCCGTACTTGGCATATTCCACGATGAGGAGAAGCGGCCCTGGGGGCAGAGGGGACTGTGGGCTGGCTGCCTACCAGGCCTGGGCAGGCGAAAGTCAAGCTAGCTCTGGGCGCCCCACACAGCACGGGAAGGAGGGCATGCAGGCTCTGGCCTCATGCCAGCGGTCTTGGGAAAGCCCCTCCCAGCCCTCTCACTGACACAGGGGGTTCTAGGACAGAGAACAGGGGCCAGAGGAGAGGGGGGGGGGAGGGAGAAGAGTGCAGCAGCCCAGAGCTGGGCCTGTGCCCTGCAGCTGTGGCCTGTGGCTGGCCTCACCGTCCTGGCTGCAGGCCCCATACAGCTTGATGACATTGGGGTGGTTGACCTGCTTCAGGAGGTTGAATTCTGACAGTAGGTCCCGCAGCTCATTTGGGGAGGCGTTCTCTGAAACACAGGTCAACAGAGAGGGCTGCAAACCCATCCCTCTGGAAGCCCCGTCTGTGACCATGCGGGGTCGCATTAGCCCACAGCAGGCTTCTGCAGAGACCCGCTAGCTTCTCAGATACCCTCCCTCGAACTTCCACAGCTTGGAGCTACTCTCCGCCCGCCTGTGGGATGGTCGACAGTGACCTCCTCTGCCTCCAGGGTATAATAACCCCATGAGGCAACGTCCAGTAGTAGGATCTCTCCATGGACAGCCTCCCGGCTCTGGGCTGGGTGTTAAGTGGAGTTACTTCCTTGCAATCACCATCTTTCAAAGACAGCAGTGCACAGAGACCCCCTCATTAATCCTCTGGGAAGGAAAGGGGACCCCCTGGTGTCCCCAAACACCTGATGACCAAGCACTCGACATCGGGGCAAAGCCCTGGAGGAAGGTAAGGCCACAGATTTTACAGAAGTCTCCTGCCAGGAGGAGGGCATGCATCCTGAGTGGGCAGGGCTGGTTTGGGGTCCCATCGGGAGTGGGAGCCCCATGTGGAGGTATTTTGAGTCAGAAGCTGTGCTAAACAGTCTTTCTGGGTCAGCGTCCCATGGCCCACTGCCTAACTGTCCCAGGCCACTGCTGTGGCTGCAGACCTGTCTGGAAGCGAGGGGAGATGGGGCATCAGGAATCAGGAACCCCTGTACCACACATGGGAGGCCCTGGGCAGGCCTCACTGTGCCTGCTTAGGGCGTGGGCTCTCTCAGGTAAGGGGCGACATAGTCTGAGGGCCTGGGGAAGCATCCAGAAGCCCTGCATGTGTGGCCCCCAACTGTGCACCAGCTGAGTCTCGCCCACCACACTGCCGCTGGGACCTTGTCAGTCCACTTGGGCCAGAGCCCAGCCATGGCAGAAACATGGGTTTGTGTGGTTGGGTGTGTGCCCACTCAGAGCCAAGCCTGTGGCACAACTGGTCACTCATGGCCAGCCTGGGGCGGCCAGTCCTCTCAGGTGGCCTTTCCACCTAGGCCCCAGCAGACACTTAGCTGAGAGGAATGAATGGGGCAGAGTGAGGCGGGAAGAGCTAGCAGTTCAACACCAAACAGCTTTAAAGTTTTTTTAAAACTCAGGTCTTTACCCAACATTGGTATAGAATAGTGGTTCCCAACCTTTTTATGGCCATGCCCCACCTAAGCATCTCTAAAATCCTGATGCCCCCACTGTGACATATTAATTCTTATTATTCAAAAAGTGAACTATTCATGTGGAGGAAGCCTAAAAGGCCATTCACTTGGCCTAAATAAGCTTCCAAAGAGCATGGCATCCATGAAAGAGAAAAAGAAAATAACAGAAGGGCAGTTGAAGTCTGAGGAAGAAGTCACTAAGAAATTGTTAAAAATAATAATAATATGAAGTAATATGAAAGAATAGCAAGTTTCAAAATGTAATAGAGAACTGAAATGCATACATATGTCATAATATATATGTATCTACTGTATAAGAAGACCCTAGAACCATAAAAAATGCAAAAAATTCAGTTAATAACTCATTCTTGAATTTCCCCCTTAAAAATCAAATTGCCCCCTGTGGGGCATGTGCCCCACGTTGGGAACCATTGGTATAGAAGCTACACCACTCTAGAACCTTCCAAGGGAGGAAGGTCCTCGCCCTGCTTCTCCAAGAACCACCCGACCCAGGTCGTCTATGATGGGTGGGGTCCCCAGGCTGCATCCACTCAAGAACAACCCTGGCCCTAGCCGGTTTGGCTCAGTGGATAGAGTGGCGGCCTGCGGACTGAAGGGTCCCAGGCACATGCCTGAGTTTTGGGCTCGATCCCCAATAGGAGGTGTGCAAGAGGCAGGCGATCAATGATTCTCTCTCATCACTGATGTTTCTATTTCTCTCCCTTTCCCTTCCTTTCTGAAATCAATAAAATATATTTTAAAAAAAAGAACCCTGGAGGCCCCTGAGGCGTTGCCAGCACAGCACCACCTCCTGTGCTGTCGGGGCTTCGTCTACCCCTGGGGCTCCCACAGGTGTGCGTGGCAGAGCCACCCTGTGTGCTGCCTGGACAGGTACCTTTCAGCATCTTCACGGCCACAGTCGTGTACCCAGCTTTGCCTTTCAGCCGGAAGGCTGTTGCCTCGACCACTTTTCCAAACTCGCCTTCTCCCAGAGTTTTTCCAAGAACCAAATTCTTCCGTGGGAACTCCCACTTTGGGTCCTCCTGCATTGGGGTTGGAGGAAGGAGAAGAGGTGAGGGAGGAAGATGGTGAGGGTAAGAGAAGAAGAATAAGGCAAAACCCATGAACAAGTCCCGGTGGATGAGCTCCGGTGTGCAGAGAACTGACTGTGATCTGGACCAGCAGGGGACAGTCACCCACGTCCCTAAGGGCAGGACTCCACAGCGGGGCCCAGAGGTGCCATTCCATGACAGGCCTCCACCAGGCAAGGCAGCTGTTGCCACAGACTGGCCTGGACTCTCCGGATGCCTGTACCCTTACTGGTCCCAGTTCGCTGAACATGCCCGGGGCCACCCTGGGCCCGTGTCCTCGTCTCTCTAATGAGGTGTGTGTTCAGGGCTCACTGAGCACGACAGGTGCTCATGTGGGAACATGGCCTCTTCCCTGGGAGCCAGGCCCAATCCTCTCAGCACTGCTTCCGCTTTGGACACCAGGCCCACAGGCCCATCCAGAGATGCCAGGAACCCCCCAGTGGCCCAAGTCACTACGGGTGGAAGTGTCCAGGGCAACTTCCTGGCAGCCTGTGGCAGAGGCTGCCCCTCCCCCAGAGCTGGCCATCGCTCTGAGCCTGCACACACCCGCCTGTCCTGTTCCCCTTCACACACACCTTGCCCACACACTCAGGACTCTCGAGGGTGCCTTCTAGACACCTCGCCTGGCTGTGCCCTGGGATTCTGACTGGGGATGCCCACGCCTGCCTGGAGCCTCCCCACCCAAGTCCCCTGCAGCTGGGCGTGGACATGGCTTCTGGGGGCTGTCACAATGTGCCTCACGGGCTCGCCCGGCCCACAGAGATGACACCCCGAAACTCGCTGCCCCTGAAACGGCCAGAGCCAGGCTTTTTGATGTCTGGGTGCAGAGGCGCCTCCTCTCAGCACCGTGGCCAGGGGCACCTCCCGGCCGCTCTGGTGTTGTCTCAGGTTCCTAGGAACCCATAGTCAGGGTCAGAGTGGACAACACTGTCATCGCTGCCCAGAGTCCTCGCCTCACACGGCGGGAACTTCAGTTCTACAGAGACCGGACTGAGCACGTACGGCTGTCACCAATTTCATCTTCTTAAAAACATTAAATGTCATTCTCCCTACTTCATACATCAGCAACTGAGGTGACCGGTTGAGTGGCATGTTTGAGGCCTCAGAGCTCGTCAGTGTGGCCCTTAGGTCTCAGGCTGGGCTCTGGTGGCTCTGCATTCTGGGCAGCAGGTGACGTGGGCCGAGGTGGGCGGGTCCACCAGCACGAGCACCATCAGCCCCCCTCTCCCAGGGGCCTCACTGCAAACTACCAGGGTAGATAAAGCAACCATATGGCTCATCCCAGAGGCCTGGGTGGAAGCTGAGACAATGCTGGGCGGGGCTGCACCCCCCAGCTGCTGCGTGACTGGAAGTAGGAAAGCTGGGAGGGAGGCTGCAGTGGCCGCTGCAGCTGGGAACAGCCTCTAAGGCCCAGACCCTCACTGAGGGGCAAACACCCCCTGGGTGGCTCCTCCTACAAACCCAGCCACCTCCCAGTCCTGGTGGTGAGGTCAGGACCACGTGGCCCCTGGATGCTGAGCTTCCTGCCTGAAGGTCCATACACTGAGCTCTCCCTTCCCAGCCTCGAGGTGGGACTTCTGTTCCCACACACCCTCCACTCAGCACTGACCTCCATGCCCCCCACCCACCCCCCGAACTGGCTCCCAGCTCCTCAGGCAGTTCCCAGCCAGAATGCGAAGGGGCACTGCAGGCTGAGGGGAGACTGGCCAGTAGGGGCCCTGAGGAGCACACGGTGACCACAGATCCGGCTTCTCCCACTGAGAAGGGGACTTGGACGCCTACTGGCTCTGGCTGGCACTCTGTCAGCTGGCTGGTCGCAGAGCCGAGGGGCTGGCTCCAGCACAGGTGGCCCCCCACGCCACAGAGGGGCTCCCCTCCCTGCTGCTGCCACCATCTCTCACCTGCATGGGGACAGCGCCTCATCGCCCAGTCTCCCACTTTTGCACCCACCCTACAGACTCAACAGAGCATCCCGTGGAAACGAAAGCAGACCATAGACCTCCTCTGTTCACCCCCACCCCAGGGGTCCACGCTACCCTGCGGCCCCCCAGGTCCTTGGGCATCGGCGGGTGTAGCAGGCTGCCCTCACCGTGTCCTGGGGCCCACACCTCAGTCCGTCTGAACCAGCACCCGTCAGTCTCGCTCACTAAACTGCCTCCGTGCTCTCTGCCCGGCCCCTGCCCTCCCTGGAAGTCCTTTCAGTGAAGGCAGGGGGTTGCTGGAAACTCACACACGAGCTGCCTGTGGGTTGCAGGACAGCACCCCCTCCCCCAGTGCAGCCCTCCCCTCCGTAGCCCCCCCGAGGCCAGTGCCACCTGCAGGGCCTCCGGGAGCCCCACCTGGAACCTCACCGGGATCTTGAAGGCGTCCACAGAGACCTGGTTCTCCATGGAGTCCAGCGAGGGCCGCCGGGCACTGGAGGAGGAGTAGCTGATGGGGAAGGCCTGGGCCGGCCGGTGGACAGTCATCTCGGCCGAGGCGATGGGCGCCTTGTGGGCGTTCTTGTGGTAGCGGTGGATGCAGAAGGTGGACAGCAGCACGGAGATGATGAAGGAGAAGAGCACGGCCGCCGCGATCACCGTGCGGCACAGCTCGTCGCACAGCGGGTCTGCGGGCGGGGCGGCCGTGAGGAACACCCCTGGAGGGCCCCCCGAATCCCAAGGGGAGCCGGCCCGGCACAGTCCCCCAGCCTGGAGAACGGTGGCTGCTGTGACGAACTGAGCGGCTGGCCAGTGCTGCTGGCGTGGGGACGAGAATACCCGCCAACACTCCAGGAGCGAGGCAGGCAGAGTGTGTAAGCCGCCGGCCCGAGGCCACACGGCAGAGGCAGCGCACACCACGTTGTCGGGTGGGGGCAGGGGGTGAGGGAGGGGGCGCTGCACTGCAGTCAGCTGGCCTGGAGGGCTGTGGGAGGTGATGTCCTGGTTCCTGACGTCTTTGTGTTTTTTTAATAAAAAGTGAGGGCAGGAGAGTGGCTCAGGACCCGGGGCCATTCAATAACAACTCAAATGCCAGAAACGGAAACGTGTCCCTGGGCCCATGTGCTCAGTAAGCCGTGCTGCCCACCACACCTGCTGCCCCGGAGGAAGCACCAGAGGCTCTGGGTGGGACAGCCGCACCCCAGCCCGACAGCGCCGGGCCCAGCCCAGGCCCTGCACGGGGACAGTCTGAGCAGCCACGGAGTTATCTGGTGGGAGGACTAGTTTTCCAGCCCAATCCTGTCGTGTAATTTTGGGCTTTAAGGCACGATAGGGAGGCCCTGACCTAGCTCCCTGCCTGCAAAGATGGGGCCAGAGGCCCAGGGGGAAGGAGGAGGGTCTTCGGGGTGACTGCCTCCCTGCAGTTTCCTCCCTGGCTTGTGGGGACGTGCGGGGAGCCCTGCCCCACGTGTCCCCCCACTCACCCTGGCTGTCCTCCGGCTCACAGAAGCACTTCCTCTCCTCGGGGAAGCAGCTGCAGGTCCCAAAGCCGGCTTTAATCCCCCAGCGCTCCCCTGGCTCATGCCCCCCAATGATGCTGCCCCCTGGTGACAAAGGAAGCCACTCAGCCTCCTGGGTGGCCTGACCAGCCAGGACCACCCAGAGGAGTGCGGGAGGTCCCTCCCTGCCTGCCTGAGGTCAGCTCCTCAGGCCTGGGGGTGGGGGCGAGTCGGGGAGTGAGCTCAGAAGTCCAGGTCATCTGGACAGGAGCCTCAGCGTGACCTGTCCCCAAGCCGGTTCCCTGGTCACCGCAGGTGGGGGAGGAGCCCATAGGCTGCCCAGGGACCTTGCCAAGGTCCACACAGGGCTGCTTCTCAGAAGCGGAGAAGGGGCAGCAGAGGTGACCAGCAGGTTGGAGGCGGGGAGATGCAGCCCTGTGAGTGGCCAGGGTGACACTGGGTCAGGGCACCTAGCTCCAATTTTTGTTTTGAGGGGGGCAGAGCCCTTCATTCAAATAAAATGTGAAACAAAGGTGGGCACACAAAACCCAGGAACGTGGCTGGTCAGGCTGAAGTGCAGGAGGGAGCCCACCTCCCCAGGGCCCCGTCTTGGCTGAGGCTGACTGGGCAGGCCCAGCGGGTGGCTTACGGAGGCAGTCCTGGGGGCAGATGTGGGGATTGCTGCTCTCCACGGCATCACAGTGGCTGTCGGGGCAGGTCTTGATGCTGGGGGAGCAGGTGGAGAAGTTCCTGGAGATCCCTGTAACACACAGTGCGCGGTCACTGTCCTGCGGGAGCGCCGCCCTGGTCAGCCTTTCAGATTCAGAGCCCGGAGGGCGGGCGGCACCCCAGGGCCTCTCGGGACAGCCCAGCCCCTCCAAGGTCTGAGCAGTGAAAATCCACACAGGCAGCCCTGGCCGGTGGCTCAGTCGGTTGGAGCACCATCCCGTGGGAGCACCATCCCACCATCGTACTTGGCTATGGGTTCTATCCCCAGTCAGGATGGGTGTGGAAGGCAACTGATCAATGTTTCTCTCTCGATCCCTTCCTCTCTAAAATCATCAAAAACATGTGCTTGGGTGAGGATTAAAAACCCCACCCATGCAGCCCCACCAGCAGGGGCATCCCTGAGAAGTGCCTGGGGGTCCTGAAAGGATAAGGACAGGTAGGTGGTGAGGGATGGAGGGGCTGGGCCACCCCAGGGCTGTGTCGGCCTCACGCCCAGGGGACCAGAAGCCAGACAAGGCGAGGCCCCCCTCGAGGCTGCACCAGCAGAGCGGTCCTTGTAGTGGCGGGTGCAGCTTGGAGTTGGCTGCTGTCCACAGCGTAGGCCCTCCCTGCCTGGGGATACCCTGCCAGGCCTGGGGCCTCCCAGGGAGAGCCTCTCTGTCCCCTACACATCCCAGCTTTGGCCCAGACCCTCCCAAGTCCAGAGAGAGGCCAGCTCCAACCATCTTTGTTCCCTTGGCAACGACCAGCCTGAATGTCCTCATGCCACCCACACCCTGAACTCATGCCCACCTCCTGGCATCAGGAGCCCTGGATGGGGACAAGGCTCTGGGAAGAGATGAGGCATGAGAGGGATCCGCACAGACCCCATTTCCACTCAGCTGTCACCACCCCCGTTGGCTGCCTGGCTGCAGGCCCCGGCTCTGTGTGGGGCCTACCTTTGCCGTCTCCCTGTCTCCACTCGCACCTGCCTGTCAGAGAGCCCAGGCCACCGCACTCCTCACACTCGGGCCGCCTCTTGCTGACGGCGCAGGACAGGGGGCAGCCTGGCTCCTCAGCCACGTCTGGGGGTGGAAGGAAGCGGGTCACAGGGGGCCAGCCCGGGCCCAGTGTCCCGCCAGCACCCAGGGACAGGGCAGCACTGGCTGAGCTGTCCCAGGGGTTGAGTCCAGAGGGGATGGAGTAACTCAGCACCAGGTGCAGGGCAGTGATGGGGCTGTTGGGAAACTGGGGGGGGGGCACCACAGCCAAAGGGGGCACAGCTACTGGGCTGGATAGTACAGAGGGAGGATGTGAGCTGGCCAGACGTGGCCAAGGACACAAGGTTAATCCTGAGTTTCAGATAAACATTGAACACCTGCTTTGTGTAAGAACGTCCCTAATATTTCGTTGACACCTAAAAACTTGTCTTCTGAGAGACTCTGCAGAGGTTGCACGGGACATACATCAAGAAATTGTTTGTTTTTTCTAACCTAAAATTCAAGTTTTATCTGGCAGCCCCGTAGTAAGTGCAGGTGCGGATGCACTGACAGGGTGGCAGGGAGCAGCGCTGACTGCTATGCAGTGTCTCTGGGCGGAGCGGTTTCACACTCCCTGTCACCCTTCATCCTTCCAGCTCGGCTGTGCGGCACGCACTGTTATTCTCATTTTATCGGGAAGGAGACTCAGGCTCAAGGAAGCCACCCATCCGCGAGAGGGAGCAGGAGCAGGCCCCTTCTGTGGGGGAAGCCGGCAGCAGGACCATGTCCCACCCACCCGCACCCTCCACAGGGCCCGGCACTCACACGTCCCCTCCATGGTGATGAGCAGTGGGCCCCGGGCCTGGTTGCCGGTTGGCTGGTCGGTGGCCACCACCGTGTACTGGAGCTGGGTACACTCGGGCCGCCGCAGGGCCTCCGTGTCATTCACGAACAGGGTCCCCGAGGTGTCCTCGGCCGAGGTGACCACTCCCAAGGCGCTGCAGTTGGCGCTGGAGAGCTGCAGCTCGTACCGCAGGTGGATGCCCGTGAACTCCTGGCCGTTCTCCACAGAGACTTTCCCAACCTAGGCGCGGGCAAAGGGAGTGCCGTGGCTGGGCGGCCGGACAGGCTCGTGGTGGTGGCTGGAGGGACTCCCTGGCAGTCTGAGTCTTGGAACAGTCCCCTGCTCATCTGGGAAGGGCAGCACCCCCTGAACTCCCCGTCCTCCATGTCCCCGTGCACCTGCCTGGCCCTGCCCTCCCCAGGCATCACACCACCACCCGCCCCTGCTTCCAGGAGCCGGGCACTGAAGTCTGGGTTAGCCGGCCCTCCAGGCAAGGGCCGAGGTGCTGGCTCTTTCCTCACGGCCCCTCATCCAGGCACAAAGGCCAACGGCTCCCTCCTATGCACACCCTTGCTGCTCCGCCAGGCGTTTTGCCCTGGGGACCACCCGTTCCTGTCCTCACTGCACGTGGCCAGGATGGCCCACCCGCCTGGTCAGAGCACTGCACCCGGCCACACGGTCATGCAGTGTGGTTGCTGGTCTCATACAGGACCAGGGGCCTTCCTGGGCTTGGCTGAGACCCTGGGAAAGAGGGGCTGCCTTGTCACCTCCCACCATCCTCGACGCCCCTCTATGAAAGGTCCAGGGTGGTGGCAAGTCAGGGAGCTTGGACGTGTCGAAGGGAGGGGGGACGCCTTCTCCTTCCTGGGCGGGGCCAGGTGGCTGCTGGAAGTGAAGGGGGCCAGGGAGCCAACCCCAGGAACTACCACCAGGACAGCGATAGATGGCCCTGACCAGGACATCCCAGCTGCTCCCCAGGAGGGGGCAGTATGTGAAAGCATACACCTGCTGCAATTTCAAGTTAACTTAAACAGTGCTCACACGGCCCTGGCCGGTTCGGATCGGTGGATAGAGCATCAGCCTGTGGACTGAAGAGTCCCAGGTTCGATTCCAGTCAAGGGCACATGCCAGGGTTGCAGGCTCGATCCCCAGTGGGGGGCGTGCAGGAGGCAGCCAATCAATGATTCTCTCTCATCATTGATGTTTCTCTCTCTCCCTCTTCCTTCCTCTCTGAAATAAATAAAAATGCAATAAAAAATAAAATAAAAAGTGCCCACACGAAACCTTCTAGAAAGAACTGCACCAACATGCTAAGCACCGTTCGACTCGTCTTTTTTCAGGAATACTGACGACTCTAATTGTTTCCACTTCTAATCGCTCTGTCCCCACCCCGGGCCCAGTGGAAGGCCCGGTAATAAGGCCCATCCATGAAGACGGGCTTTTGGACATATGGCGCTATGTGACCAACATTTCTGCAAACCACTTTTTCACTTAACACTTGGAGTGCGGGTGAATTTCCCGCCAAAATATAAGATGGCTCTGTCTTTTGGTTTTGTTCCATCCACCAAAAGGGTGGATTACAAACAAATATTTGGTAATACGCAGTTACAATCGGCCCGAGTTTACACGTTTCCCGCACTCCACCGCAAATCTATATGAACCGAGTTAAAGACGGCTCCCGCGGAGTACGCGCAATTCACGCGAGCCGACTTAACTCGTTTCCCGCAGTCCAAGCGTTAACAACCCACCAGGAACGTCTCTCCAGG